AAAACCCGACTAGACCTCCAACCAAGGTACGAGAAATTCAGTTGAACACTAAGAGTACGTTGCACAAACATTGACTTGAGCGTCAGAGTGGCTTTTGTAGGTACTCGCCCCATTTCCACCATTCGACTTCGGGAACGTAATCCGGAGTTCTCCTTCAACCAAGGAAGCGTGTGGACTTCAGTCAAGAACCTATGGAGGTATTTCTTCTTGAAAGAAATCCTGCTCCAACAATTATGTAAATATTTTATAGTTGAAACTTTTCCTTATCCAGTTTTCCTTAAGCAGTCTTATCCTAAAACGAGTGCACAAAGTGCTCAGTTTTCATTCACTGCCACTAATAATAAGCACAACAGAAATCTTTCTAGAACCAAAACAAGAATTTTGAATATATGGAAACTAATTTTTCAGCGAGTGCAACTTATCGGAATATAGCATAATCAACATGCAGGTACTGAGAAGTATACCTGTCCCTTCTCATGCTCTTAAAAACAGTTCGAGCTTGGTCCACCATTCCTGATACTGCAAATGCGTCAAGCAAAATGTTATAAGCTTACGGGGTTGGTCTGCAAAACAGAAAGAATGGCGGATATTATAGCTTTCATCATTGGTAAGGAATTGGCATCAAGAATTTGGCCAAAAGTGGATTGTGTGTAGCATAAATTGGCCTGCAAGTGTCTACTTTCCCTTTGTAGATGATGATACATCAACTTGCAAATTCATTTCATTACAATCATTTACGCAAAACACAAGCAGAGGAGCCAAGTGACCATGTCAGCTTCATTGAGTTTTGCAAGCTTGAATTAAATAAACAAGTTGAATTAAGAATATGAATCAGTTCCTCACATATTAAACTTTCGAATACTGTGGCTCCCTGTATCAATAGAATAAGTAGCATTGAGCCTAAGTACCTGACACCAGCATCAAGCATCTCCTCAAAAACAGCTAAGGCTTCTTCCTCTCTTCTAGCTTTCCCATAAGCACTAATGAGTAAGGCATAGCTCACTACGTCAGGTCGGAAACCAGCTCTTTGCATCTGCCATTTGAAGTTTCCGTTAATTTCTGAGGGAACTTCAGGTGAACAGTTGGTACGAATTTCAGGAAAACAAATTAACAAGATACACATGGGGAAGGGGAAAGTGATAGTATGAAACAAAAGTACGACAATTTACTTCTTACTCCAAAGTTACAATCAAAGAAACTACAAAATGGCATGTTATCATATGTAGCAACTCAATCAAACTGTACGGCAATTATGGTAGTTAAATATTGGAAAAATTAATTTCTTAATATTTTGTAAAAACCATTCAATTTAGTAATGGCTTCTGAGATTCTCTCTACCTTCAAGAATCCTAGAATCCTAAAGCTGTCAGGTGAGTAAACATTTTTTTTATGAAGGTGCACGTGCCCATCTACATAACTCAGTAAACTTTTTTAACCTAATCAAAATTATTAACTGCTAATCAGAAACAAATCCCAAATTAAAAAAATACAAAATTTCTAGTGACCATATTAGGTACACGTGTTGACCTAACCAAAACAGAATAGAAACTCTTTGTCAATGGTATCTGGGTCCACTCCAAAATCAATACAATAATTTATCCAATACAAACAAGCACAATAAACTGAAATGAGCCCCACCAACTATCGGGCTATGCCACAGGGAACTGACAAGCGACATATTCAGTTTGCATTTAACAAGGCACTGCTCGGAGCCTTCAAAGTTTAAATGCCACCTTTGACTTAGAAATTATACATGGGTTTTGGTTTGGTGTAATTTGTAGACTGAAAAATGGGTAGTTGCAGCTAAATTTCTCTTGCTAATGTAACGCATGAATGAGCCGGTGGGTACCAAACAATTTGAAAGGTAGTTAAGACCCCAAGCTTTCTACTTTCCCTTCTTAATTTTGTATATAATGTAACATCATATTATTTATTCACTCTGCCTCTTCCAAGTAACACAAGCACACTCTCACACACACAGCTGCACAACCCTCAAGCCATAGTGGCAACCATGGGGTCGGTGGGGGAGTACCAGCCGCTGCTGCTCGGACTCGACTCACATTCCCAGATACCTGGCTTGTCGTCCGCTGCCATCGAAGAGTTTCTGGAGCACAGGCCTGTGGCGGTCCGATGGTGGCCTAGACTGGTGGCATGGGAGTCAAGGCTGCTCTGGATTTTATCTGGTTCATCTATCATTGTCTCCATATTTAATTACATGCTCAGCTTTGTCACCCTCATGTTTTGTGGCCATTTGAGTGCCTTGGAGCTGGCTGGAGCCTCTATTGCTAGTGTGGGAATTCAAGGTCTTGCTTATGGGATTATGGTAAGTATCCCAAACTAACGTACCAAATAAGTTATATGTATCTCTATGTTTTTTAACTTTTTTCTATTTTGTGGTTGAAATTTTTTTTATTTATTTTTTTTTCCCCTTGCTTTTGAATCAAAAGTTGGGAATGGCTAGTGCTGTGCAAACTGTGTGTGGGCAAGCATTTGGAGCCAGAAAATTGCCAGAAATGGGCATCATATGCCAAAAAGCAATCATCTTGCACTTGGGAGCAGCAGTCCTCCTTACATTTCTGTATTGGTGGTCAGGTCCAATACTTATAGCCATAGGCCAGGCAGAAGACATAGCATTGCAGGGCCAAGTGTTTGCAAGGGGCATAATTCCTCAGCTTTATGCATTTGCAATAAACTGCCCCCAACAGAGGTTCCTTCAAGCACAAAACATTGTGAACCCTTTGGCTTACATGTCTGTGGGGGTTTTCCTCATCCACGTTCTTCTCACTTGGTTGGTGGTTTATGTTGTGGAATATGGCCTACTGGGGGCTGCTCTTACTCTCAGCCTCTCTTGGTGGCTTCTTGTCATTACATATGGACTTTACATTATTCTAAGCCCCAAGTGCAAGGAAACTTGGACTGGCTTCTCTTGGAATGCCTTCAAAGGAATTTGGCCTTATTTCAAGTTAACTCTTTCTTCTGCTGTCATGCTCTGGTAAGTGTCACATTTTAACCCTTTTCTCCCTTTTCTTTTACTGCACATCTCATTTGCAAACACTTTTTTTTACCTTTCACTAGTGGGGTATAGCTCAGTTGGTTGAGCTCTTTCACCTCCACCCATGTGTTCAGAAGTTCAAAAACCCCAGACACCCAATGAATATTTGTGTAAAACCCCCTCCCCCAATCGGTTGTACTAAAAAAACACACTTGTTTTTACCTTTCAAATAACTCTTGGGTTTGGTCATGCATTAATGTAGCTTGGAGATATGGTACAACCAGGGGTTGGTGCTGATATCAGGGCTTCTCTCCAATCCTACAATTGCTCTAGACTCCATTTCTATTTGGTATGTCTTGTGTTAAAGCATTCCATTTAAGCTTTTCCTTTTATCAGTCAATTTGCTCAATTGTTTAACTCACATTGTTAGTCTAACTTTACATTTTCTGATGTGATATATAATTCCAGCATGAACTACTTGAACTGGGACATGCAATTTATGTTAGGCCTAAGTGCAGCAGCCAGGTTTGTGACAAGTAAAATGCTCCTAAGAATGTTTATATCTTAATCACGAATTACAATTTTCTTTATTGATAACGAGACATCGGTTATGCAGTGTTCGAGTCAGTAATGAGCTAGGTGCTGGTAATGCAAGGGTGGCCAAATTTTCAGTGTTTGTTGTGAACGGGACCAGCATACTTATTAGCATAGTCTTCAGTGCAATTGTATTGATTTTTAAAGTTGGATTAAGCAAGCTTTTTACGAGTGATTCTGAAGTTATCGTGGCAGTATCTGATTTAACCCCATTGCTGGCCATCTCTGTTTTCTTGAATGGCATTCAACCAATACTCTCAGGTACTGATATGTGACAAAAGGAGTAGATGAACAAACCAGGCCTGCAGGCATTGTGAGGCGTCATTTATAATTTAACTCTCTGGAATTTCAGGGGTGGCAATTGGAAGTGGATGGCAAGCTGTTGTGGCCTATGTTAACCTGACTTGCTACTACATTATCGGTCTTCCAATCGGATGTGTTCTTGGCTTCAAAACCAACATGGGAGTAGCAGTAAGTTCAATCTCTCCCTCACTCTTGTGCTAGTAAAGCTATTTCTTTGTGAGTGATAGAACATGATGCATTATTTTTACCTTTTTCAGGGTATTTGGTGGGGGATGATTATTGGAGTTTTTCTACAAACAGTAACTCTAATTATTCTCACCGCCAGAACAAATTGGGATGCTGAGGTAATTTAAATTTTGATTGAAGTATTGTCTTATCTTGGCGTATATAGTCAACATGGACTGCATTTGATCAACTTATCACTAATCACCATGCTTTTGTAGGTTGAAAAAGCAGCTAATCGATTGAAGAAAGCTGCAGAAATACAAGACTCGCTGACTGATGTATAAGGCCATGGAGGTTTTCAAAACTTGATTTCACCTGCAGTTCATGTATGAATTCCTGTGTTTTGACATAGCTTGGTCAACGAGATTTAGACTATAAGTTTGTACCTTCTTCCCCTGTATATTGTATATAACCAATTAGATTGTTGCCAATTTTGATGATACAAGGGAAAGAAAACCATCCTATTTGTTTCACAGAATCGAACAGCAATAGTTTCTGCTCGGATGAATATGTCACATTCAGAACTATACTACCTTGCTTTTGCTGAAAGACATAACTTGAGAAGAAGCTGCCACACTTGAATCACAAAACTATGAATTCCAAAAATGCACATTAATAAGCCTGACAAAACTCAAATGGTTCCATTTTGTTCTCTGCCCATCTCACCGCCAATAGAAGCGCGATCAAAGGTGGCCTGAATTCTGAGCCTATATAGTTCACAAGCAATCAGAAGCCAAAAGCAGTAAACTGTTGCTTAAATGCCACTAAGCTGGTGTGGAAGAATTCCGTTTCCACGTAATAACTCTCAACTGATATTCTTGCATGAATAATAATAATAAAGCTTGAGTAACGTAACTATACCACAAAATAGAGAACCCCCCCCAATTTACAAATTAGCCACTTTAAGTAAGCCGTCAAGGTTTTTCTCATTAGCACCATTTAAATAAATCAGTTCATATTTTTGTTCATCATATGATGAAGTGACCTGTGAAGGACCATCTAATTCATCATCATGATTGTCGTCATCATCCGCATCCTCATCCTCGCTATCATTCTCATCAACAGGCACCAAAAACTTCGCACCTCCTTGTTCATTGCTACACTGATCCAAATTCCCTACAATTTGGTTAGCTACCTTCTGTTCTTCTGCTGTTTTCGCCAAAGATAAAAGGATATTCTTTGCTTTCTGATCAGGTGGAAGGCTACAGGTTTCCATTTCCTTGTACCAAACAACAGCACTGCCAAAATCTCTGTTCTTGCCATATGCATCCATTATTGTCGTTAAGATTGTTTGATTTGGTTTGACACCAGCTGCCTGCATTTCCTCATATTTCTCCATCATCTTCTCTATATTATTTGTCTTAGCATACCCTTTGATTAAGGTTCCGTAAGTGACGATATTGGGTTTAAGTGCATCTTGTTTTATTCTTAAGAAAAACTTTTCAGCACCCTCCATATCAGATGCATTTACATATGCTGATAACATAGTCGTATAAGAGCAAAGATCAGGTTTATACCTGAAGAAAAGCAAACAAATATAGAGGGTTCACTATCCAGATAGACAGTACATTTTTAGGGACAGGTATTACCATCATAAATATGCCTATTTCTACGCTCCTACAAAATCATGTCTTTAATGATTCTGTCAACAGACCACATTCTTGTTGAGTTAGATACATGACGTTACAACCTAAAAATCCATGGTTCTATCAGACAGTAGAATCATAAAGTTCATTCAAGACCTAGGTATTTAATTTGGAAAATACATGTGAAGATAATCAGTGAAGGGAGAGAAGAAGTGAGAGAAATGGACTGATGGATTCCAATCGAATCCAATCAAACATTGAGTTGTTGACTGATTTGTAGAATTTACAATCTGACCCAATGGTGATCAGTATGTAGAAATTTTAGTAAGTTCATATACATGCTTGAACACATATAAACAGACAAAAAATAACCAAAAAAGAAAATCTAGGTGAAGAGGACAGGAAAACAGGCGGGATGGGTGGAAGAATACATGGGAATAAAGAAATGAAAAAAAATGTCACATAAAAAGCATGCTTGCACATGATACTTTTTAAATATCTCAACAAGTATGATATACTGACATCATCCAAGTTCCCCTACTACAGTGGAAACATCAATTAACTATAACTTTCAAATCCAAGACTTCTATGATATGTGGACCCAACTAACAGGTCCACCCCTAATATAATATATCAATGTCACTAACCACTTATTTGCAATCTTCTGAACATGATAAAGCAGATAAGAAAAATATATTATGTAAATATTTTATAGTTGAAACTTTTCCTTATCCAGTTTTACTTACAAGGTCTTATCCTAAAAAGAGCGCACAAAGTACTCAGTTGTCATTTACTGCCACTAATAATAAGCACAATAGAAATCTTTCTATAACCAAAACAAGAATTTTGAATATATGGAAACTAATTTTTTAGCAAATGCAACTCATCTCTGAATATAGCATAATCAACACGCAGGTACTGAGAAGTATACCTGTCCCTTCTCATGCTCTTAAAAACAGTTCGAGCTTGGTCCACCATTCCTGATACTGCAAATGCGTCAAGCAAAATGTTATAAGCTTTCGGGGTTGGTCTGCAAAACAGAAAGAATGGCGGAGATTATAGATTTCATCAATGGCAAGGAATTGGCATCAAGAATTCGGCCAAAAGTAAATTGTGTGTAGCATAAATTGGCCTGCCAGTGTCTACTTTCCACAGCTAGGCCTTGGTGCAAAAACCAGTCAAGTTTGAAGCCAGTGCAATCATCTACAATTTAGATATAACCTTTGTAGATGATGATACATCAACTCGTAAATTCATTTCATTACAATCATTTACGCAAAACACAAGCAGAGGAGCCAAGTGACCATGTCAGCTTCATTGAGTTTTGCAAGCTTGAATTAAATAAACAAATTGAATTAAGAATATGAATCAGTTCCTCATATATTCAACTTTCAAATACTTTGGCTCCCTGTATCAATAGAATAAGTAGCATTGAGCCTAAGTACCTGACACCAGCATCAAGCATCTCCTCAAAAACAGCTAAGGCTTCTTCCTCTCTTCTAGCTTTCCCATAAGCACTAATGAGTAAGGCATAGCTCACTACGTCAGGTCGGAGACCAGCTCTTTGCATCTGCCATTTGAAGTTATCGTTAATTTCTGATGAATTTTATAATTAACAATAAAGCTGATCACTTGAAAACCTTGATATTTAGGTTATGGAACTTCAGGTGAATAGTTGGTACGAATTTCAGGAAAACAAATTAACAAGATAAGCATGGAGAAGGGGAAGGGAAAAAATAAAATATTTTTAAGTCTTCTTGATCATTAATATTGGCACATTTCTTTTTGAATGATACAGAATGATGACTTTCATGTGTGCTTGTCGACCATTCAAAATCATTGTTAAAGCTGGCAGATAATAAAAGGCATCCTTTTCCACTTTTCATTTATATGCATAATATATGTAAGCCAGTTTTTGCCCTTTGAATGATATGTTGTATAAACTGGGCACACTTCAAAGAAAAAAACTACATGCCTGATATACAACAAGAACAATGGATAAGGAGAAGCCCTTTCATTCTCTACAAACAATTTAATTTAAAACTGATTTTTTATTATTTTTTTATATTAATAAATATTTAATATTTAATATTTAATATTTAAAAAATTCTAACTAAAAAGAGGTCATGCATGACTACTGAACCACAAAGCTCTTGCTGCTGAGGCCTGGGAAACCTCTGACGGGTACACATGATAGCAGATTAGGTCCCTACCAAAGCAAGCCTCATGAATAAAGCCATTGGAAAAAATCACGATAAATATGCAGACTTGAGAAAGAAGGCTGCAAGGAATGGATAAAGGTGTGATTCTTGACCAGAAAGGAAGCACATTATTCTATCATCGTAATTCAACCAATGATGCTTAAGAGAACAGACCAGGCAATTAGTGCTGCAAGATTATTTTACAATTCTAAAGCATACTCTAATAGGAACTGTTCAGCATGCTCTTGCGAGCCATATGAATAATTATTAAGATATTTTCACAAAATTTACCTGGTTATACATCTTTGAAACTTCCTTGTAATTAGTTTCAAATGACATTAAGCTATTATAAGTAACCGTCGATTGCTGAACCCCTCTCTCAGCCATCAATGCGAACATCTTACGAGCTTTATCATAACTCCCGGCCTTCTTATACATATAAATCATCATATGGAACATCTTTTGGTCTGGCTTCAAAGGCGATTTTCCCTCATCCAAAAGGGTCTCAAAAATTTCTTCTGCTTCCTTGAACTTACATCCCTGAAGTATTTCAAGGTACTCTCGTGAGGTGGGTAGAATGACTCTCCAATGAAAGCATGCATATTGCTCAACAAACTATTAGAAAGATTACAGCAAGCAAATCATATTCTAGATACAGCAGCACCTATTTGTCTAAAGCAAATCATTCAAGAGACAAAAGAGAAACAAAAAACATATATTCAAAAATAAATTTTAAAGAAAATATCATCTACTTTGCTTCATGTTCACTTTTTTATTTCTACTAAAAAAACTTTAAAGTAATCTTGCTGCAGATTTGAACAACTATATAAATTAAGGCCAGACATAGACCGCACTGAGGTTGTAACCTAGATCATTCAATTGGTACCTATATATTTCAAAAGAATAGAACTTACTGAAATACAGCTTCCATTCATTAAAGCATAAAATAAAAAGAAAATTTGCTATACATGACCTAATATAAGCATCATCAAAATAGTGTAGCACTAAATTGAAAATTTATAGTTAAGATTTAATATAAACGTTTAGGGACATCCACAAGTTTGGCTAAGGAATTAAAGATGGTATTACCTCAACAAAGATTTTTAGTATTATTTGATAAGTCACAGCAGACGGTTCAGGGCCAGAAGACTGCATCCTTCTAAATATTGCTTCAGCATTGTTATATCGGCCTCCTTTTCCATATGCTTCCATAAGAGCAGTATGAGATATTACACTTGGTGGAATTCCCTTCTCATTCATCAAACTTAAAACCTTCTCAGCTCCGTTGAAGTGCCCTTGCTTTCCATAAGCTGTTATAAGCATCAGGAAATCCATTTTGCTGAAGTCCCACCAATTTTGAGTTTGGAGCCATTCAAGAATCTAGAAGACAAAGGACATAAGCAAACAAGAGATTTGAACATCAAAGCAAATCAAGCACTAAAAGTAATGAGCTCAGAAAATGAATGATTTACAAGAAAAATAAAACATCCTATCCATGTAATTTATCTGATTGGTTTGTCTATAATATGCAGGATGCCCTAAATGATTATTCAAGAAATTTATCTGATCCAACCTATAAGCCATTCCTACAGGGAAGCTGCCCCCACTAATTGAAATATTCATACAATATTGCACACAGAAAATACCCTTTTCCTCCACATAAACTAAGAATGACGTCAGCATAGATTAATTTACTAGTTGGCTACAGCTTGTCATCCTCAGAAAGAATTAACTGACTTCTAAGAAGTAACCAAATCTTTTCTGTTGCAGCACAAAAAAAGTGCATCTCTACATACCTGGCTGACAAGGTTCCATTTTTTCAGTTGCTTGAATCTGACCAAAGTTCCAAGTACAAGATCCTTAGGAATAGTCTTGTCCTTGAGCCTTTCACTTTTGAGCACAGAAACAGCAGAACCTGTCTCTTCAATTTCATTCATCAGTCTCCTCCAGTTCTTCTGCTCAGCTTCATCCGCAGCATCTTTGAAAACTTCTACTTTCTTCCTTTTCTGCAAGAACTTTCTTGGTGCCAGCATACCCATACAAACTACCCCCACTCTTCCACGCACCTTGACATTGGCACCAATAGAATTTGTGCACGCTTTCAATTTACTGGATACAAAATTCACATTGTTATTTCTCAATACCACAATGAACACATAAACCATCAGACAGAGAGTTCTCAAACTAGTCATTTCTATGCAAAAGCCCGACTTAGGTTGATGACAATGTAAAAGTACAAATAACTGCACATCCAGTGGAGCAAGCAAGCCAAAGGCCACATTGCAGAGAAATTCAATTGCACAACAATGCAACTAGGTAGATATAAATTAATCTAATTATACTCAAACATTCATAATTTACGGTTGCACGTCTTCAAAAATGATAGCATACTCCAGAGGCATACAAAAACAGCAATTTCACCTTCAACCCCATCAAGAAAAATCATACTATGTACTCATATCTTTCAGAATTTTGAATCAAAACAGAAAATTTGGTTAACCACAACCCCCTGTTTGGCTGCCGAGAGAAAACATTAGCTAAAAAATGTAGTAAAATAATTCACTTCACTTTCAAAGTAAAAAGCTACAGCCCTGAACCTCAAAAATTCAATGTTATCCCCCCAAATTATACAAGTAACCAAACAGAGCATCAAGAATGCAGACTCAGAAGCTGAAATAAAACACAGATGCTCAAATGAAAGTATGGGTTTTTAGGGGTTTTACAAGGGTTTAGCAAAAGGGGATGAAGGAAAACAAACCTCCAATTATCCAAAGGAGCTGAAATGAAGGGCTTTAAGAAAAGGGTTTGAGGCATTTCCTTTCTGGGTTTCGTCTCTCAGAAGTGCTCAGAGAAAAGCCAAGTATGAATGAAGTTTTAAGGGAATTTCTGAAGAAGCTGTTGGAGCAGAAGACTGTAGCATATTTTTGACGAAAATCTTATCTTGTTTAGAGCGGGACCGACTGGTAAAACCCAACCGTTGCTGGGCAACTGCGGGCTTTGGGCTCAGGCTCTTTTGGAGGTACGTTGGGCTTTTCATCTGTGGCCTCTTCTCTCTATCAAATCAGGTGATTTAAAGAAAAAAGAAAGCAAAAGAAGAAATTGAAAATAATTTGGTAAAGCCTAAAAAAGGTCAAAGACATTGCCAATTTTACTCTAATTATTTTAATTTTATGATTTCTTTAAAATTAATAAGTAAGTTTTAAATAGTTAAACATTATGCACTGCCCCTTGGACTTGTTGTATAATACTGAAATACGGTCACATAATATAACTCATTTAAGTGTTATAATATAGATGAATGAGTTTATACGACATGATCATATTCCAGTACCAACTTAGTAATTATGTTGAACTGTTATTTAGTATTTCATTATTCATTTAAATACATATTTTTATTTCATTAAGTCCGTGAGTTGGCTATCAGTATTGGATGAATGTAATTAATAATATTTTTTAATTTAAAATAAAATTAAAAGTTTAGGGAATTACCCATTTTAATAATTTTTTCCTTTTTTCCGCTGACAATCCATTTTAAACTTCAGATTTACCCCCAAAATGAAATATTATAAAGAGGAAGGAGGGGAAGGAGAAGAAGAAGAACGTTATTATATGGTTGTAGCTCCAAAAAACCATTAAATGAATAGTTTAACATTCAGATCACACATCGCTCTCTCTCTCTCTCTCTCTCTCTCAGGTCTCTCAACCTCACAAAGCCCTGAATTTTCTCACACATCAAACATGTCGTTGTAGCTGATTCCCCACCGGTCGCATTCCACCGCGCAAATTCAAGCTTCCGTCATTTTCATCCAACCGTGATCTGAATCTGATGCAACCGGCAAGGTAACAATCACAACGTACTAGGCATTTCAAAGCTGTTTGCTTGATGGGAAGATTTAAAGAAAAAAACGAAAGAAAATGGAAGACAATGTAATGAAAACGAGTTGAAACGAAATTATGAGTGCTGCGTTTGTAACTGGTGTTCTTCCGCTCTTTCGAAAATTTTGTGTCACCTCAATGAATATTGACTGAAAATGTTGCTATTTGGACCCCGCATTGTGAAAGCTCTGTAAATTTGTAATTACTTTTCTTCCCAATTCTTACATTTTTCTTAGCAACCCAGCGATACCTATAACTTCAAATTTTCTTTTTCAGTTTAATTGGATTACATTGGATCTAAAGATTGGTAGTTTGCCCCTGGGATTTTCTGTTACATAAATGTGTAGATTACCTAGATATCATTAATGTTATACTAAACCATCTGTTTGGTTGCTGAGAAATTTTCGGAATGGGAATAGGTTTTAGTCATAAGCATAATTGAGATGAAATGTGTTGCTGAATTTTGTTACACAAATAGTTAGTTTTTATACTTAAAGTATGTTCAATTTCTAAGAACTGCAGCATTTTATTTATTTGTCAGCTAAGTGTTGAATGGATAAAAGACTGGGACAAAAGTGAAACTTGTGGAATAAGGTGAGGAAGAGTAGGAAGCCACGCCATGGAATCTGGCGAGTATGAAGAAGGCATGGTGATTGAATTCTCTGCAAATGGGAATTCCATGAAAGCAACAGATGTTCAGGCCAAGCTTGATGAAGGAAATATTCAGGAGGCAGAATCTTCATTACGAGAAGGATTATCACTCAATTTTGAGGTTATTCTATGCTTATCATCTGTTTATTTTCGTGTAACAATTTTGTATGACCTATGGACCTAACAGTACCTCCTCCCCTTTAAGAACAGGGGTTATAGTATACTTGAGGTGTCGGCCCTAATGTTTCCCAGTCCATCAGAAATTTGGAATCTGATTCAGATTATAATAAAAATAATTCCAGGATATTCATTTATAATTTCATCATTTGAAGTATTAGTCATTTAAAATCTTGGTTTATTCTGGAATTTACCATCTTTTCCATAATTATATCTGTGTCTGTACGGCTATATGCACAAGTTAGAGTAGTGCTTGATGATTGGTTATCACTTATCCAAGAAAAAAAAACATTGATTTATGATCATCTACAGGAAGCAAGAGCCCTTCTTGGAAAGCTGGAGTACCAAAGAGGTAACCTAGAAGGTGCACTTCGTGTGTTTGATGGCATCGATCTTCAAGCTGCCATAGAGCGATTGCAACCTTCTCTTGCTGAGAAAACACCTTCTAGGAAGGGCCGATCTCGTTCTGACTCACAGCATACAGTCTCACAGCATGCTGCTAGTCTCGTTCTTGATGCAATATACTTAAAATCCAAGTCTCTTCAAAAGCTTGGGAGATTAACTGGTAGGGTACTGTTCCAGCAATTGATATGATGGTTTTCCTTTCTTTTTAACTTTTCAAGTTTGAATTAGAGTACAAATGGAACCTTGTATTATGTGTCTGCAGAGGCTGCTAGTGAATGCAAAAATGTGCTTGATGCTGTGGAAAAAATTTTCCATCAGGGCATACATGATGCGCAAGTGGATGGTAGATTGCAAGAGACAGTCAGCCAAGCTGTAGAGCTTCTTCCTGAGCTTTGGAAGCAAGCTGGTTACTATCATGAAGCAATATCTGCTTACAGGCGTGCCCTACTTAGTCAATGGAACCTTGACAACGACTGCTGTGCAAGAATTCAGAAAGGATTTGCTGTGTTTTTGTTGTATAGTGGAGTAGAGGCTGGTCCACCCAGTTTAGGTGTTCAGGTTGAAGGTTCATATGTGCCCAAAAATAATCTGGAGGAAGCAATTCTGCTTTTGATGATCCTTTTGAGAAAGTTATCCCTAGGTAAAACCAATGTGACCCATCGCTTATGGAACATCTAACATTTGCGTTATCTTTATGCAACCAAACTTCAGTTTTAGCAAAGCAGCTGGAAGAGATCATGCCTGGAGTATATCACCGTGTTGATCGTTGGAATTCATTAGCTCTTTGTTATAGTGGAGCAGGACACAACAACGAGGCTTTGAATCTATTAAGGAAGTCTTTACACAAACATGAACGACCAGATGAACTCACAGCATTGTTATTAGCCGCCAAAACCTGCAGTGAGGATTCCCATGTTGCAGCTGAGGGAGTGGGATATGCACAAAGGGCTATTAGTAGTGCTCAGGGGATGGATGAACATTTAAAGGGTGTGGGTCTTCGCTTGTTGGGTCTTTGTTTGGGGAAACAAGCAAAAGTTTCTTCCTCTGACTTTGAGAGGTCCCGGCTTCAGTCTGAAGCACTGAAATCGCTAAATGAAGCCATTGCTTTGGAGCAGAATAATTTAGATTTGATTTTTGAGTTGGGTGTTCAATATGCAGAGCATCGGAATCTAAATGCTGCTTTGCGGTATGCAAAACAGTTCATTGATCGAACAGGGGGCTCCATAATAAAAGGTTGGAGATTGCTTGCTCTTGTTTTGTCTGCTCAACAGCGATATTCAGAGGCTCACGTGGTCACTGATGCTGCTTTGGATGAGACCGCAAAATGGGAACAAGGGCCATTGCTCAGGCTTAAAGCAAAGCTGAAAATCTCTCAATCATTACCCATGGATGCAATTGAAACTTATCGTTACCTTCTTGCATTGGTTCAAGCCCAAAGAAAATCTTTTGGGCCTCTCAGAATTAGTAATCAGGTTAAAACTCTGACTTCTGCTTTACATTCTTCACTATTCAAATTTCTGCCAAATGTAGCCCTAAGCTATTATTGGTAGTGGTGGGAAAGTGGTATTGTTGTGAGTCTGCAATGTCCTGGGAGGAAGTTTAGCCCATTAATCATTTCTTTATACAATGGTTTAATTTAATGGGATAGTAGTTTAGATTTTAGAAATTTGAAGTATCTGATTGTTTTATGGAGTTGAATTTTTAGATCTTGAGGTTTGTAAGTGAATGCTGGGTTAAGTTGCTTTCTCGGAAATTATTTGTTAAAGATTCTTGCTCAACATGAAAATATATAGTAGGAACTCCTGATTAACAAGTTGTTCCCTTTAAGTTTATGTTGGTCTTTTCTTTTTGATAGGTTGAAGATGATAAAGTCGATGAATTCGAAGTTTGGCATGGTTTGGCAGACTTATACTCTAGCCTATCACATTGGAAGGATGCAGAAATATGTTTGAGTAAAGCCAGCGAACTGAAGCAGCACTCTGCAGAAACGCTGCACACGGAAGGCAAGTACTAAACTCATCTACTACAGTAATGAATTTGAGGCATTTATGTTGTACTTCTTGATAAGTGATATACATGACAATGCAAGCAGTGGACCTGTGGAAAACGCTCACTTTAGACAAAATGACTTTCAACTTTTCAAGGGCTAGTTTTAAACAAGGGCCTATATGACCTAACAGCACTTTCAAGCTCTTCTAACACTAGGGAGCCTATCATGGCATAAAAGCCTTTTACTTATATAGCAGTGCAATTTGATATTTTGATGTGCAGTATGTTTACTGTTAAGTTACTTGCTGTGCAATTATATTAGGTGTTATCTTAGAAGGACGTGGACAAATTGAAGAAGCTCTAGCAGCTTATATTGATGCTCTTCTGCTAGAACCCTATTATGTTCCGTGCAAGATTTTGATTGCTGCTCTTCTGTCAAAGATGGGCTCAGTGGCATTGCCTGTGGCAAGAAGCTTACTCTCGGATGCATTAAGGATCGATCCTAACAATCGAAAGGCTTGGTATTACTTGGGGATGATTCACAGAGATGATGGTCGAATAGCAGACGCCATCGACTGCTTCCAGGCAGCTTCCATGCTGGAAGAATCTGATCCTATTGAAAGCTTCAGCTCCATTCTCTGATGTCTCCCTCTATTAAAGGGTATACGTTTTTGTAATTTTTGGTTGTAAATATCATTTATTTTAAGCAAGGCAACCAATCTAACAAGCATTTAATTCATATAACAGGAACCTTTAAAAGAGGGATTTGGAAATTGGAGCCTGCTGAACTTCTTTGTTGGATATTTATATTCAAATTTGTAGGTCTCATTCATCTATCGGAAGGAAGGTACGAGAATCAGTTGAAAGAAAATTATGTTTTGAGCATGTTTTGAGAAAATAAGAAAGCGACGGAAATAGAAGCTAATTCAAATTTTGAGTGCAACGCAGAGAACTTGTAATATTCGGAGATTAATCTTCTTTTATTCTTTTTTAGGAGGGCAAGGTTTTAGCAATTCATTTGCTTAAATATGTCAACTTTTGCTCAGCTGTGTAAATTTACGTGATTTGACTGAGCAACTATATCTAAATGAAAATCAAAGATCCATTTTCTAGAGTTGTATATCTTTCCATTCTCTCATTTTCTCTCTCAAGTGTAATAGCATTTACAATGGGCTCTCCAAACCACTTTCTTAGACAAATTTTATGGAGGAATTGGAAAAGTACAACTCCTACCATGCTTCCTATTTTGTATGGAGATGGACTAATTATATTGAATTAAAAATAATTATAGTAGTTTGAGACTCCTTAAACTAGAGAGTATGATTGGAGTTCAAATTTTATAGAGTTCCTAAAATAACTTGTGTATTTTCAGCTAAACTTTAACAAAAAAATATAGAGCATGATTGTAGATGCTCTAATATCACATGATTATTATCATGCGTCAAGATTTGAATAAGGAAATTAAGAAAACAAATGGATTCCAAATGACTCAATGGATATAGTCATTTCAAATTCATTCCAAATATATAACATCTAGTTATTTAAATACCCATTTGGAATTTGAAAGAAAATTTGGCAACAAGGCCAAATTTGCTACAAAAACAAGAACAATATGAATGTATTTGAAATAACTACATGTTAGGACTCATTTGAAATTTATTTGTTTCCTATCTTTCTTGTCCAAATCTTGGCATATATGCATACATGAGCTTAGTCAAGTTGGCTATAGCGGATTTGCTCACTACTCTTCATCCGAATTCAAATCTCTCTTCCCGTAGTTTAGATTAAATTAAAGTAGAGTGTTGTTTGTATCAACAAAAAAAATATATAAAAAATCTTGGCATACACAAATTGTAATGAGTAATGCTACTTTTACCACATTTTGTATACCACATTTCCATACCACATGATGTGGCACCTTACTTGGACATGCCACCTCATTTAATTTCATTTTAAATTATCTTATTTTTCATTCATTCTGGTTAATATATTTAATAATTATTATGCTAATAAACTTTGTCAGACTTCTCATACTCTTGAGTCCTCCTCTACCACTCTTCGTCTCCCCAAATCAATTTCCTCTTCCCTCTTGAAAGTCCCTCTAAACCTTAAACCCTTCATCCTCCCTCCCTCCTTCTTAATTTCCAGAACATATGAAAAAAAAAAAAAAAAAAAAAAATCACAAAAGATAAAAAATTAAAATTAAAAAACAGCAGGATCAATGCAATTAATAGGAAAAGACCAATCATCGTAGATACATATGAGAACTTTCAGCCATGAACAATGGCCCATAAGAGATTTCCAGCAAAGGGCCCAAGGGGAGGGTTGGGGGGGGGCAAACCCAAAATGGGGTTTCCAGCAACAAAGATCTGCCAGGGCAAGGAGTGGGGCCCAGCTACCTGGGCTAGCCCGAGCGCCAGCCCGAGGGCAATCTGACGTCAGCGCGCTACAGTGCTCCCTTTGCCCAATAAAAAAATGTAAAAAATACCCAAAAAATACTGACATTTTTTTCAATAAATACTAACCAATACTCTTCACTTTTAACACCAGTAGCCAATATTTTTGTAATAAAAAATTGAAAAAAATACCAAAAAATTACTTCTTCTTTTTTTTTTTCTCTCTATACCTTATTTCCATTTTCAACATTTAAGTAAATGTCTTTGTCCTTTTACTTTTATTTACTTTTATATTACTCCATTTACTTAAGTTTACAATGTAAATAAGGAAGTACCCCCCATTTGGATTCAAATAAAAATACTAGAAAATCAAATTCCCACCAAATCAAAATATGAAAAATTGGTTTTAGTGCAAAATACGATTTAGGCTAAAAATGATGGCTCATTAAGTGAATATATACTTCATATTAAAATCCCATAAAATCAAGTTTTCTTATTTGATGTGTAAGGAATAAAAGCGGCCAAAAATTATCTTGAGAAAATGATTATTCCGAAAAACCATTTTTCATACTTAGTCAATATTGCACATCCGCTAAAAATCTTGAGAAAATGATTTTTCATATGCAGGAACCCAAAAATCTTATCCGAAAATATTATCCAAATTAATTGTTTAAGTAAACAAAGTTGTGAAAAAAAAACAAAAAAATAAATAGTATTTGCCATGGCAAGCCTAAACTGCTGGAAACACACTTTGCTAAGGGGGGGGTAGGGCAGCCACTATTCACATGAATAGTAGCTGCCCTAGGGCTCCCCTTGCCATGGCAAGGGGCTAACTGGTGGAAGTGCTCTAACCCTTAACATGATATAGACATTTTTCTTCCTTTCGACTCCTTTAATTTTCAATGAACAATTAGATAAAATCATTCTTTATAAAGCAAAAAGGAAAGAAAAGATGGTTTGCTAGAAATCAAATAAGAATCAACTAAAATAATGGAGAACGGAGAATGGTTGGAAGGACAAGAAGGGAGGAGGCTGCTGCGGTGGGAAAGAGAAGAAAGAGATGGAGTGGAGAATAAAACGTAAGATCTAATTAATTTTTTTTTACTAGGGTTTTTAATTGAAAGATTAAAAAACGTAAAATGAAATTAAATGAGGTGGCATGTCCAAGTAAGGTGCCACATCATGTGGTATGGAAATGTGGTAAGAATAGCATTATTCAATTATAATTATCTTGACTATACTTACCACATGATGTGGCATGTCCATATCATATGCCACATCAATTAAATAAATGAAGTATATTTTAATAAATAAAATTAGAAAAACAAAAACTAGTATTTTACATGATATGGTATGTACACATCAGCTGTCACATCATGTAAAAAAAATTATGATAAGACTAGTATTATTCTTTAAATAAAGCCTTAAAAGTTTTTAATGGATCCAATGAGAGAATCCACCAATGCTGACAATAAATCAATTGAAAGTTACATTTCTAATTCGAGGTAACGGACAGACAAGTATCATGCAGAGTTTTTATCAAAAATAGCCAAAATTTAACCCTCAAATTCATAAATATCAGTTTTTTAAAAAACTTTCAAATATGGCCAAAAACTCACTTAAATTGACCCAAATGCCCTCTAAATTAAAACCTAACCAAAAAGCATACTCTTCCAAGCCGTAAGCTACTGAGCACAAGCCTCACTCTCCACCAAGCCTACCCTCAAACACAAGGACATTGCCCCTCGCCAATCACCCTTAATAGAAAGCAAAGTTAATATAGGCAAGTTTGTGCTGTGGGAAGATAGTCTATGAACAACGAGGGCCTTGCAATTTTTCTAGACCTCTTGTGTTGAGGCCTGAGGGAAGGCAGTAGCACATATGATGGTTTGCAAGAAAGTTTAACCCCCATATTATATGCAGACTAGCAGTATTTATGATACGAATTTTGCAAGAAAGTTCAACTTTTTTTCTCAATTAAAAATTATCATGTCAAGAAACTGACTTTAACTTTTTTTATTGTAAAAAACTCCCAAACCCACGAATCAAGCCATAGTCGCAGAGATGATTTTTATTGCTTGGATTTATGAAAACATCGACTGTTACTTTTCTTCTTCTTTTTGGTAATTACATTGTCATTTTTATAATAGGATTCATAGGCATGATTAAGTTGACGAAGCCAATCTTGTTTTTGTGCTTCCCTGTTATTTTGGGTTTTAGCTTTTAGCTGTAATTGAGTTATAATTTAGAGGGCATTTAGGTCAATTTAAGTGAGTTTTTGATTATATTTGAAAGTATTTTACAAAACTGACATTTATGAATTTGAAAGTTAAATTTTAGCTATTTTTTATAAAAACTCAAGCATGCATAAGATAAGAGCAGAAGAGAGAGAAAACCCACATTCATTTGAACACGACAAATTGTAACGTCCTCCCCACCAATTCAATACTAGATATATATATTGACCTCTAATATCACAATTTATTGTAACATTCCACTAGCTATTTATTTGACTAGATTCATATCATTTAGTGATTGTCCAATGATTGCGCAAATACAGATAAGCCCAAACGGATGAGGACTACAAACAGATACACCAGAGCTTGGCTGCTTCATTCAAGGGAAAACGGTGATTTTCCACGACCTTTCCCAGACAGCCGAATCAAAATGGCAATATTGTTTGTCGCCCAATCCAACCTGAACATATCTTCAATACCCGCATTCATATATCTGAAGGATGGTGTGGCCTGAAAGTTATAAGCGGGAGATCAAAAGCGGGATGGACATGGCCTCCTCGCCCATGACCGGCTCGAATAAATCCAACTCCCCATATCGCTCCAGAACACGCATCCTGCAGTCTTCAGCAGCCATCACTCCAGTAGAGAACGCACCATGCACAGAGCCTGGGAAGTCCGCACTTGTTGCCTCCCCGGCAAAAAATAGGTTATCCACTGGGACCCTTAGCTTCTCGTACAAATCATGGGGTTTTCCAACCATGTCATAGCTATAGGACCCAAGCGTGTTAACATCACTGCCCCAACGAGAAACAAGATACTGAATCTGCATAATTGGAAAGGCATCAATTAAGTTAAGTTATAGCTCAAAAATAAATAAGACTCATCAAATTTCACATAAAGTCTAGTAGAATTTAGAAACAAGGAGTACCGGGGAAGAAGCATCTGGAAGGATCTTCTTGAGTTGCATAAAAGCAAAGTTAGCAGCCTCTTCATCAGACATTTTCTCTATGTCTTTAGCCAGCTGCCCTGCAGGCATATAAACAAGTACAGAATGACCAGTTGCCTTGTGAAGATTTAGAAAGTAGCTGCAGCAATAAGATGTTTCAGCAACCACTCCCAAAAACTCCACATTTGGCCAAAACACCTTTTCGAAGTGCAACACTATTTTATTCTCAATTCCCACTCCGAGGTCATCAATGGCTTCTTCCTTCCAGTTGGGTAGCTTTGGCTCAAACGATATGCTCTTTGCCTTAAGCACACCAAGAGGAACAGCTACAACAGCAGCATCTGCAACAAATGTACTCCCATCTTCTATTGTTACATGAACCCCATTATATTGCCTTGCTATATTTGTGACCCTGAGAACAGGAGAAAAGTTATATGCTTGTTGATTAAGCTACAAGCAGATTGCAGAACATAAATAGGAGAATATGAAAAAGAAAACTGATGCATACCTGTGGCCCAAACGGATGTCAAGACCTTTGGCAAGTGTGTTTATAACAGGGAGGTAGCCCCTGACCATAAGGCCATGACCACCAGGGAGCAGTTCTTCCTATACAAGAGAGAAACAAAATTGCTAATTAATGACCATTCGAGGTTATTAAGTTGTTACAGGCCATACTTGAGCAACAAAGATATCAATGTCTATAGTTGAACTGAAAATTCAAACAGTGCAATGTGTAATGAAAAGTAATCTGAGGGATGATAAGCTTGCCTGATCCCAGCATTTAAGTGAAATTGTATCAGCATCTGCTGCAAACCAACCTTCCATTCTGCACAAGTACCACTGCAGAACCTTATGTGCAACTCCTTCCAACCTGTACGACACATATGGAAGTAATTTTGGTAAACTATTTATACACCAACAGTGTCAAAAGCTGAAAAAATAAAAATAAATGTGGCTTGGAATTATGGTACCTTAATTCCGGGTTCCTTTCAAAAACAATTGAAAAGGCACGAGTGATGGACATGTCTTCACTAAATTCCTCTCTTACCTTATCTGTCTGCACTACAAAAACAAAAAATGAAGTGAAAGAATGTCCACAATGGCAAGCCGCTATTTGAGGGTTAAGACAGAAGCGAAACCTTTCGTCTCACAAGGCTATAGCCTTAAAACAAATAAATAAACATAAGATGACTTGCCTCTTTCAAAAGGTTCTCAAACACTTCACCAACTTTGGTGACCAAATCTTGAGGAACTTGCTTCCCATCCATATCAAAAAGTGCATAGCTGCAAAGACAACATGAATTTACTACCAATGTCAGATATCACCCTACAATATAAAGGCTCGGACAAAAAACCAACTTCACAGAAAGATGAAGCAATGTGTTAAAATCATTTGTATCAAAGCACATTCTTGAATGGATTGACCATAAATAATACATATTACATTGTAGATTGTTGTGCTTTAAACTGTTAAAAGCAAATCTTGGCACTGTACTAGAAGGTTGGAAAAATAAAACAACTTATACGAGTACGAACCATTCAATTCAAAACAACCAACAAAAACCAAGCCACACTAAAACCATAACAATGCATATCGACAACCAAAACTTAAATGACATTTAAAATTCACAGCATTTCCTACAACAAGGGAACTATTAGTTGAAGGGAGATATTGTGCACCTCTCCAAGTCATGGTCATATAAGACAGAGTTATCCCCACTCGTGCGGTATAAGGGTAACCCCAATCTCCCAATCAATGGTGCCAACGGATTCTCTTTGCACACTCCGTGCAACCTGAAGCATAACAAAGATCAAGGATTTAGGCTTCAAATGCCAAATAAAAGCAACTCAAATTCCAAATACAAGCAATTCAAATTCCAAACACAAGGGAGCGAGTCACATTCTCAGCTTACCATGATGCACCCAAGTCAATAGGGAAACCAAATGAGTAATCGGTGTAAACTCGACCACCCAGTCTGTCTCGAGACTCCAACAGCATAACCTGACCATCAAAATTCAAAAAATTTAAAACCCTAATTGCACACTTCAATGTACAAAGAATCGAGTTGGAATTTCAATGTGGGTAGGTACCTGAATTGAGGCATCGTGAAGAGCACGTGCAGCTGAAACCCCGGCCATACCACCACCTATCACTATTACAGATGGGGACGTCGTCGTTCCGCCTGATGTCTGCTTCTTGTCACCATTCGAATAGCACACAGCTGCATTGGTACAAATTATTAAATAAAAATATTCAATCCAAAATTTAAAAAATTATTTTAGAAATTACCAAAGCAGTAAAACCGTTAAAAAAACGAACTTTCAAACCCAAAAAAGAAATTGGAAGAGAAAAGAATGGAAAATGTGAATGGACCTCTGCGCAATTGGGGATTACTCTTGGCTCCAGACGCCATAGTGATTCAAAGCGTTATTGATATTACGATTAAAATTGGGATTAAAATTAAGATTGGATAATGATAATAATGGATCGAGGGCTTTCTTCTCGAATTTAAGCAGAGTAAGAGGCAATTGGGGGGAATAATGGAGGATGAAGATTAAGAGACACGTAATGAAGTGATTAGAATTGGAATTCAATTTCCTCTTTGTGAAACCCAGCTTTCCCAACCAGCTCATGCGACTTTCTTGTGCCTGACGATTCGAAATTCACTCTCGTTTCTTTGTATTCAAACAGCCGCGATCGGATTTCAATTCCCTCCGGTGAAAGCACGCACCAGAATCGCCGTAATTCGCAGCGGTTCTGGAGAGATCGGGGAATCGAAACGCGGGATTTGGCTGCTTTTTGGATGCACAAGAATTTAGGGATTTGGTGAGTATTTGGTTTGGAAATGGAAACAGAATTGCATACAAATAGGAGAGTCGAAATTTGATTTCCACCGTCTAGGTTGCCCTGCCTTTATATAGACAGCTACGCTGTGCCAGCCAAATGGCGAGGAAGATGAAACGAAACGATTTTGTACTCGCCAAGATCGCTTTATCGTGTACTCGCTGGAACAATTTGCCACGTGTAAGGGATATTTTGGAAATTTACCGGGACTGTGATTCCAATTTTGGCGCAAACACTGGGATTTGCAAAGTAGGGGCATTTTCGGTTTTTGAGTATTGATTGGTGTACCGTGTACGGTCTTTCAGCCTTTAATATTGATATGAAATTATTGAAATTTTCTTTTTTGAATTTTGTTTCCTATTCTTCATTTTCCTTTTTTACGTTCAAGTAAATTTGCTAATACATATGCAGCATGGAATTAAAATTCTTACCTAGTTAGGGTAGTGGCAAATTCAGAAAATTCTTTTTTTGTTCTTGTTGCGTAAATGCGAGAATATACATACAATCATATGTTTACTTTAGTTTTTTTAACACATTTCATCGAACACTTTAGCCCTTTTATAAAATACTAATGAATAACCTTATTGCGTGTGGGGTGGAGGTTGTTTTCCCATATTTCCGTCCCATTACTCAAGTTAAATTATTTCATATTCGTATCAAATATTAGTAATATTTTGTCCGATTTACGCCGTTTCATATTTATATCAAAATACTATTGTACAACGTAACTTATTGGGTTAAAATCATTTGACACTCATTCCACATCTATTTTAGCTAAGCCATGTATGTTATGAACTACAAATCTAAGAGTGGTTTTTTTTATTTTTGAATCAAATAGATGACCTATCAATCCATCCCTACATTTCTTGTAAAATTAGGACCTATATGATTGTTTTATTTTATTTTCGTCTAGGAAAACATCTATTTGATTCATATATGTATATATATATATATATATGCCCAAAAAAAAATCATAATTTTTATCATTTTATAATTCTACAAAATTAATTTTGTTTATAAAATAAAAGTGGTGTGCTGCTATTTGACAACATGACCTAGAAACACACGTCATGATGATAAACAAAGATCCAAGTCTTCTAACTGTAAATTTGTGGTTTTATATGACGCACTTGCATTACATATTTGTTTTGGATTACGTGAAGTTTTCATGGCCATGTCGCTGAGAAATAAATAAGAAAATAGAAAATGCAGCATGCCAAAGACGAACGTGATGACGAGTGCTTTCCTAGGATGCTGATTTGGTGACGTCTTCACTCTCTACATTTTCAAATTTTCAAGACTATGTCCAAGTTCTCAATATTTTTATTTGCAAGCAGTCTCAATATTGATAGTCACCGAGCTGAAATATATATTTTTTTTTCAAAGTTCCAATTCATTGCAAAACCCCCAAAAAGGGCAAAGAATAGTACAAACAAAGTCGAGTTTGTTCCTATTTGTGATGGTTTTAACTAGATTTGTTCCTGTTAATTTTCTTACTGGTGTTTTTGACAAAGCTGAAATATAAACATGCTTGATAGTCGCAGAACTGAAATATGCAAGCAGTCTTCCTTATTTATTTATTTCTAAAAACCAATCCTTTTATTATATTAAAATAAAGGTATATTGTCTAAAATTGTATAAATTGATGACCTAATACGTTGTAGAAGTATGTTATATGAGCTGTTTATGCTGTATATGTAAAATGAATTAGGTCATCAATTAGAATATCTTTTATTTTTGCAGAATATCTCTATTACTTTTTACTGAAATGGGTAATGTTGACTAACTTTGGGTAGTTTTTAATTTTTTTAATCTTGGCGTGTCAAATATTAAACTTAATTTTGACAATTTCCTTGTGGACAGTTTTTCCAGATATACATTGGCTGATATCAGTGTGCACTGCATTTTCAAATTTTCATTTAATTCCATTTAATTCTTTATTTGGTTAGACCCATTCTTCTACCGTTCATATCAATAGCATTCATTAGGGTGGTGAATTAGATATTGAGTTGTTTCGAGAAAACTCAGTAAACGCCCAATTATTTTTTAAATTTCTAGCTGAAGTTAATTAACGGAGAATAAATTAGGTTCTATTTTTTTAAGATAATTCCTATTGAGAGAGGCGATAGTGTACTAAAATGACACACACTATACGGATGCTAGGACAGGGAGCAATTTTGTTTAGTTAAAAAGTAGATTTGAACAATTTCACACATACGAATAAAATTTTGAATTTTTATTCAATTTGGAGAAGTTGAAGACTGCAAATGATGACAGTTTGAAGAGATATTGTAGGAATCTTGAAGGTTTGATGAAACATAATGATATTTCTTTATTAATGGGAATGATTTGTTTCCCGAACTACGAATCATGAGAGAAACTTTACCATAAGATACAAAAAGGGCAATTCAAGTGTTGAATTATTTGAAGGACTTCTATGGTTGTTTCCCAGTTGGATGCATTGCTTACATAATTTTGTACCAGTCACGGTTGCTTCCTCAGAAAGAATCTTTTCAAAGTCGAAGTTGATCACATCAACTATGTCACAAGAAAGATTGAATGGCTTAGCTATATTATCTATTGAAAAAGACATGGTAGAAAAACTTCATTATGTAAAGTTAATTGATACTTTTGCATAGGAAAATGCAAGAATAGCGATATTTAAGTCATATTTTAATACATTTTATAAAGTTATAGTGTAAATTACATATTGTTTCTTTCTTTTATGTTACAATCGTGAATTTGAATTATTTATTTAATATTTGTTTAACTTACGGAAAAAATATATCACATAAACATACACAGAGAGTAGAAGGTCACATTTTGCGTAGGGACTCAAAAAAAAGCTGTTTGAGAAGTGTTAAATTTCATCAATTTGTTATTTTCCAAATTTCATATTCAACACCGCACAAATGGAGTTACTTATCGCATTGCGTAATTTGCTCTTCATATGGATAACTTTTCACTTGATTTGAAAAACTACATGATATATTCAAGATTGATAACTCACTCTCAATCTCATTTATGAATAGAGATCATTTACTAAGAGGACCCTAAAATTATAGGTGGAACCTAACCGAATTATCTAATATTATATACAAACACACCACATGACCCAACTTCCAACCAATATGGGGCATCTACAATACATTATACTGTTATACATACACAATTCTCTGGTCAATTCATCTCATTCAATCCTCATCTTGACTTTTTGGTGCTAATTTACAAATATCTTTTTCTTTTTTTGGTATGTTTGAACCTTTTTTTTTCTTTTCCTCATCACATGCTATTTAAAAGGGAAATTCTAAGGAAAAAAAACTTACTTGTAACGGGAATAGCACTGTTTTGCTATCCTCGGTCAATGACAGTATGACACGTGAAAAAGTTATATCATATATCATTTGTATTATTGATCGATACAGTCCTGATCTCTTGGACTACAGGTTTTGTGGTCACCCACCGTTAGATGTAAATTAAAACGATTCACTCACTCTTGCACTCTTTTTAATAAACTTTTTTGAACCATTGGATTAATATCCAACGGTGGATGACCACAATCTCTTGGACTCCTGTGGTCCAAGAGATCAGGCCTATTGATCGATACAGTCCTGATCTCTTGGACTACAGGGGTCCAAGAGATTTTTGGTCACTCACCGTTGGATGTAAATTCAACGGTTCACTCACTCTTGTACTCTTTTTAAGAAACTTTTTTGAACTATTGGATTAATATCCAACGAAGTAATATTCCCGTTGCTTGTGACCCTGACAAGTGTCTTAATAAAATACCGAGTATGATGAATACTTGAAGTTGAAGACGCATCTTTTCAACACTAGTAAATGTATCCTCTCGATAGGTTGCAAATCTTGTGCACTTAAAAATCATATAATTAATTAGATGAAAATCAGTCTAGCTACTCAGATAGAATCGTGCGCCTATCTCCATTCTCCACCGCTTGCCATTTTATCTAGCCTTTATTATATATAATTAAATTCATTTGTCATGCATTGTGTAATGCATCAAACATATTTCTTGTGAAACTGTATATCACGCGGGGCACTAATCAACTAAAACACAAATATTTAAATTGGCGTAAGTGGACATTTAGATCACATGACAATAACGTTTACAATGAAAGTAGTCTTTTTTTCCTAAAGATAATTTAGCCAATAAATTATAATTATAGTGTTACACATAGGACTTCCATTGCCTTTATACACTTAACAGATTTGAAAGTTAAAGTGAAATATAAGAAATCAGATAAAAAGTAAGGATTCATTTGGATGGAATGAATTCATATCTAAGGATTAGATTAGATTTTAAGGTTAAATTGTAAGATTAAGATTACTATAATCCATATATGACAAGATTTGAATAAGAAAAAAATAAAGAAAATAAATGGATTTCAGATGATTCATTGGCACATCGCATATAGTCCTTTCAAATGGAGCCTAAAGGTCAATACCAAAATGGTAAAAAGGGGAGTCAGAGCTTGAAATTGAATAATACGAGAAGAACCATCACATTGATCATATGGTGTGGTAATAATCGATACTTATATGATATAT